ATTTTCTCTAAGACCTCTTGAAGGCTACTTGGCCCTGCTTTTCCCAGTACCCATGGAGTACAGGGTTTCCAGCTTAGTAGTGTAACTGAGTGAAGTTGTGGTTGTGGCGAGATGAACATCGGAACATAAGAGAAGCCATGCTGGATCAAAAAAAAAGCAACAACAGACCATCCAGTCCAGTAGTCCGTTCACATGGTGGCCACCAGCTGTGCACAGGCTCTCTCAAGCTGGATGGGTGCAAGCATTCTGCCAAGTTCCTCAGCAACTGGTGCAGGCAGGAATACCATTTCTGATCGTGGAGGCAGTGCATAGCCAACCAGGCTGGTAGCTACAGATGGCCTCCTCCTCCCGCTCCATGGATTTTTCATTTTGAAGCCATTTTGAATTTTTCTTTTGAAGCTGCCCAAATTGGTAGCCACCACTGCTTCCTGCGGCAGTGAATTCCATAGCTTAACTATGTGTTGTGTGAAGAAATGCCTTCTCTTATCTGTTTCTCCATCTGTTAGGTTGTTGCAGGAATTAGTGGAATGAGAGGGGACAGGAAACAACCCCGCAGGCTGTATTAGATTCATATTAGTATTCGTTCAGCTTTCCAAATCTGCTTTCTTTAGAAACATCTTAGCAACTCAGTCTAAAACCTCCAAATCGCTTGTTTCTGCTTTCTGGGCTCTATGGCAGGAAATCCCAGGACAAATGCTGAACTGGGTTGGAACTCTGACAGGGCAAAGAGTTCATTCCATCCTCTCCTGGCTATTATTCAGCAAATAACATTAGAACATAAGCGCCTTGCTGGATGAGACATAAATTCTGTCTAGGCCAGTTTTCTAGTTCTCCCAGTGATCAGACAGATGCCTCTGGGAAAACTACAAACAAAACAGGAACACAAACAGGGACTACTCGCATTTAGTAATGGTGGATATTGAGAGGAATTCCCAGTACAAATCCCAATAAAAATCCTTGAGATTTCCGCGTTTTTATTCTTCCATTGCAAGAACTTTTCCGTGATCCCTACTGTCTGTTTCCTGTTTGTTAACCAGCCCATAAAATGGTCTGTCTTGTCTCATGACTGTTTGGGTTGCCCAGGAATCTTTAGTGGGGGAATTTGTCAAAAGCCTGTTGAAAGTCCAAGCAGACAATGAGACGGTGTTTTGCATAACAACTTAAACTTTTGTCCATGTGCTGCAGGTGAAATTTCCTTGTGCCTGACAGATGACCAGCCACAGTGGGTGGTTCTGTCTCTCCTCCCCTCCACTCAGTCTTTCTACAGTATCTCAGAGGCGGCTTTGGCCGTTATTCTGAACTTCACTGCCCAGCTCTCCTGGTGATGCTGTCAATGCATAGCTGGTCTTGAGCACGTGGAGGGACCTTGGGAGATGCAGGCCTTTTTGGTGTCTAAGCACACTGATAGGAATGCAGTTTGAGTGAGTCCAGGGTCTGCTCCATGGGCTTGTTCCTCCTTGTTTTTGCCATGGTTGTTTTGCAAAGGTTTCAAATAAGGCTCCTCTTGCTGTGAAGGGGGCCGCACCCGGATGTGCCACCCTGTGTCAAGACTTGATGAGAATACAAGCTGAAGATGGAATCCCTTAAATGCATACAATTCTTTGTGGGAAAGGGTTGTTGGAAGTGGTATTGTCTGATTTATTTATTACATTTCTGTGCTGGCCTACAGCTGAAGTTCTCTGGGTTGCAAAGGATTCTGGGGCATGTTCTCGGATGCATACTGAGACATTTTAATTTTGTATTTGTAAATCAATGTATTTTTTTGTATTTTTATATTTAATGGTAATTTATCATGTACTATTGTATTTCAATGTATTTTATCATGTTGTAAGCCGCCCCGAGGTTTCGGCAAGGGGCGGCATAGAAATGTTATAATAATAATAACAACAACAACAACAACAACAACAACAACAACAACTGAGTGACTTGGTGAGCTGGATGGGTCTTCACTGCTGCCCCTCCGTGTGGGGGCTGAGCCCATTCAATGGATGCAGGAACAGATCCTGAGTCCAAAGGGGAGGAGGGGTTAGCCCCTGCAGCTGAACTGCCAAGGCCAGAGGACCAGAGATAAGCAAGGTGGACATGCAGGACCGATCTGTTTCGATTATTGTGGGAAAGCTTAGCAAGAAGAGGAGAGAGAGCATCATTAGTGCATGGTCCAGCATTAGGTCAAGGGTGGACCAGGTGAAGATATTCCAAGTGATAGGCCACCATTATCATTATTTCATTTCTGTACCTCCTCACAGCCCAAACTCTCTGAGTGGTTTACACAGTCCACAAAAACAGATGATAAGAATACAATAAAATATCATAAAATTGCGGGAAAACATATAAAAATTAAAACGCTCTAAAAACAGACAATAAATACAGATAATAACTAGAAATCACAAAAGAGTGACTCTGGAAAACACCTGTAATCCCCCTCAAGCCCCTGCATGGCTGAGTAAGCCTTAAGCAGTAGAACTTGTCTTGAAGTCCTGGGTTGCCAATTTTGGTTTGGAGGGGAAAAGTGATCTTCAGTTTGGGATTAATTTTTATTCTCAAGTCACTTTCTCTAAAGCTTACTATTCCAATTTTCCTTGCTTCTTAGGTTACTGACTTCTGCACTACTTTTCATTTGTATTTTAAAGCCAGCCTTTTAAAGTCAGGTTTAACGTAATAAAGGCTTTTAGCTAATAAACCATTTTCTGAGTGTTCGTGGAAAGTGCAAGGGAAGAACAGCTATGACAGTTTGAATGGTGTCTATCTGGGAATAATCAGGAGTGATATAAAAACTGCATTTCAGACAGATTGTCCACCATGACTGAATGTTTCCTTCAGGAGCCCCTGAATTTGGAAAATGGGTTTGCCTCAGCATCTGTTTTCTGGAATACAGGTTGAAATGGCAATTTTCAATTAGTGATACAAATCCAGAACTGAGTAATTGTCACTTCTAGGAAAGCCGGACAATTCAGAATGGCACAATTACTGCTTTTGTAGAAGGGCTGTCAGTAAAAAGCTTGCATTCATCTATGGCTGAATGAATATGACAAGAGTTGCATTTTCATTGAACTCTTGCTCCACAGCTGATTTTTACAGCCAAGGATTACAAACTGGGGGCCATGAGAATTTCGTACAAGCTTAATGGGTTGAATTTCTGTTTATTTTCAGAGCAGAAAGAAATCTGGGTCTTTCAGAAAGTAGAAAAGCTGCAGTATATACAATAAATCTTACGACCCTGGTATGAGTCCAGAAATCTGAAAGGCCTTCTCCATAATCCCATGCCTTTTTTTATAACAACGTTGTGCTTCATCACCAAAGTATAACTTACTTTGGTGTCTGATGATGATGCTTGTAGAAATCTAACCAAACAAATATGCAGGTCACTGTCATAACACTATAAATTACCATAACTTGGATGAATCTTCCATTCCTCCATGCACTTATTTTCAATATCATGATCCATGCATATTGCACTTCAAAATGTTCAAAGTATTTAACAGATATAGGTTCAGTGAATCTTACTCCCTTTATGGTAGGTCAGCATTATTAGCCTGTGATATGGGAGATCAGCTATTGGATCTCCTAAGGCACCATCCTGTGTATGGTTATATAAGGCGGGGCGGGGGGGGACCTACAACTCCCAGTATTCCCCAGCCATCCTTTTTGTGCATAGGATTGTTCTTCAGTGACTTAACCAAACAAACCATCAAAGTGGTTTGTGGTGGGTTTGGATTGGGGAAGAGGTGCTGAAGATGGAGCTCTTAACCCCCAAATTGATAATAGCCTAACAAACAGTAAAAGGCATTAGCTTGGGACATAGAAGCCTGCTTTATCCTGAGCCAGAAAGCGGAGGAGTTTTATGTCCTCAAACCCGAATGGCAGCAGTGCTCTAGATTTCCCAGCCCTGAAAATGAGATGCTACAGATTGAGGGCTGGATCTTTTGTACTGCCGTAGTACAGCACTACCCACAAGAAATCCTATTCATCACACAGTGGTCCTTGAAGTGGCTTAGAATCAGCATTAACATTTTTTAGAAAGAGAAGAAACATAAACACCCTTCCAAAATTCCCATCTTCCCTGGCCGTTAGCCATGGTGACTGTGGCTGATTAGAATTAGTGTCACCAACATCTGGAGGCTCATAAGTTGGAACTGCAGTGCTTCATGGACTGCCTCTTCCGCCCAGAATCAGCCTGAACATAACACTCAGTAGCTGAGACCTTTCTCTGAGTGCCACTTCAAAGGCAGGCTTGTCTGGTGGCAACAAGGAAGAGCCTTGTCTGAAGCAGCCCCCCAGCGATGGAATGATCTCTCCCCTGAGGCTCACCTGGCACCAACACTGCTGTCCTTTCAGCACCAGGTTAAGACTGCCCTCTAAGCCAAGACATTTAACACATGAGTGGGATTGTGTCGGCTGTTTTTGCAGGCCTAGTTATAGTACCTGCCTTATTCATTTAAAGCATTTAAAATTGAATTTTAAATCCCTAGTGAAATATGCTGTTATTTTATTTAAGTTTTATACTCCATTTTATTGCAATTTATGAGTTGTTGTACACTGCCCAGAAAGTTCCAGCTATTGGGTGGTATAGAAATAATAAAGTTTTCACCTGGTATAAGAGCTGCCAAGCAAATAGAGAGCCCATTGATGGCCTTGGGACACCCAGTGACCTTGCTCTGTTTGCTGTATGTGGAGAAATCATCTGAAGTGCAGGAAAATACATTGTTCCTTGTGCTGATAAAGCTTCTAGTATTTGCAGTTTTCCCATCTGGGACTGCAGCTGCTTCTGTCCTCTTGCAGTGAGTTCCCATGTTCTAAACTTCAGTACAAGGAGAAAACAAGCAAATACTTCCCATGATTAGAACCTTCGGTGTAATTGTGCCACAGCAAGAGGTCCCACTTTGCCTGAAGTGCTAGATTGCTGCTTCCTTAGGATAATGGTTAATCCAGCTGCGGAAATGACAACATACTCCGGCAACTTGGCAGGGTGTTTAAACCTTTTCCTTTTCCTCCTCCTTCAGGTGACAGATACAGACAAGTCTCCAGATCTCGCTGGTGCAGAGGGATCCAAAGAAAACTGTCAAAGCCCAACTCTTGGAGGAGGTATATTGAAGTATAGAAGCCGATCCCAAGGTATGGGTACTGGGTGAATAAAAGACCAAAGTCAGCTGCTTTCTGGAGCACATGCTTTGCAAACAGAAAGTGCCAAGATGTACCCTCTGCCTCTCCAACCAGGGCAGTGAACTCCTGCTTCCTCCCACTTGCAAAAGGAGCATGCATGTCATCTGCCTTCTGTTCTCCTTCCAGCACTTCCTCTTCCTTGCTTGTTCTCAGTTCCTTGCTTTGAGGGAGCCTTCTTCAAAGTGTAGCATTGTCCTGCAGTGGCACACATAGTCCTGGGCCACCTTGCCCACAATTCCTTGCTCCCTGCAACTTAAAGTGACTGGAGAACTGATGTAATTGGGACTGCGTTGTATGTTCTGGAGGAAGCAGGAAGTGCAACTATATTTTCAGCACTGTTTTATCTCCAGAAACAGAAAGAAAGATGAGCTTTCTGTTCAAGGAGTTCAGTTCTTGCTTGTTACTGCTGAGCTACCAGCCCCCATAAGCATGATTGCTTTCTTCAGCACAATGCAGGAAAAAATACAGCTAGCAGACAGCTGACCCCAGAGGTTTCCTTAGAAATCCACGACTTAATTTGTCTTAAAGTTGGAATCAGGTGGACTTTTCCAGGGAGAGTGCTCTATGATGCTAACACCGTAACCGAGAAAGATCTCTGCCCTTTATATGCTGACAATTGTTCCTCTGTTGGTGGGGGAACCCAGAGCAGAACTTCTGATTCTGAGTAAGGGAACAAGATGCAATACAAACATAGTTCTTATGATAGCCGGGTCTCAAATTTCGTGGGCCGTTAAAACAAAGAACCCAGTTTTTGATAGGACGGATGCATGACTTTTGATTGATTGCATAACTTACTTTGAGCACATCTAAATCTTTTTAGCTTGATTTGTTGATAGCAACTTGCACTGGAAGCCTTCAAACTCACCACTGACTGCTTCTTATGCTTTTCAAGTGCTTAGGAAAGAATGGTGTACATCTATCCCTTCTCTAATAAATAATTGCTACCCACTTGAATGCAGTGCATGTCTGTATATATAACAATAAAATTTATCATACTTTGTTTATACGATTTAGGAAATGCGCCCATCAGTCATTTCTGAATGAGCATGCAAAATGTGGAAAATAACGTACCTGATTCCATCGCAACTGACAGATGTTAAAAGATGCTTTGATATATGTATAATAAATGGCATCTCTGGGTTATCCCTTAGGGGCAGCAACTCGTTTAGAATCCGTGGGAGAAGATGATGAGTTGACAGTGGAAAACGGAGATGTGAATTATGAAATAGCAGTGAAATATTCCCGAGGAGGGAGAAAGCACTCTCTTCCGCAGCATCTGGATACAGGAACCAGACAGGTGAGAGAGAGACTACCCAGTTTACTGCGATTAAATGGCCAAGTCATCCGTATTTTATTTTTAACCTTGTTCATTGTATGTTTGGGGAAAAAACACAGAAGCTGTATAAACAAAGAGGAAACATCCCAAAAACAAGGTAAGGAAAGAAAACTGCATTTGTGTGGGGAGGGGGAAAGGGAGGGGGAAGGAACAGGGAAAGAGAACACAAGAACAATCATTCCTTCAAAGGCAAGGAATTGTTCCAGTTCTCTGCACCAGCCTTCAGGAATGCCCTCTCAAGGAAAGACCATCTGGCCCACATAACTGACCACCTAACGGTGTCAGGAGGAAACCTACTTTTGAAAAGAGCTTTTGGAACCGGCTGGTGTTTGTGTTTGCTGTTGATTTTTCAGCATACCAGTAGCCTATATTTTTATTGATTGATACTATTTTTACTCTGCTAGGCCTGTTCTACGCTACTTATTTATATGTGGTGTTTTACTGCTGTCCATCTTTTGTCTAATCAATTTTGTGATTTGATGTTTCCACGATTTGTTGTAGGACCTTATATGAATACACTGAAGACAAAATAACACAATGATAAATACAATTTATTTAAATACATAATCTTGCTATAATTTAAAATAAATATATGCACTTAAACGGAATACAATTGCCAAATATTTAGGAGATGAAATAAAAACCACACACAAAAAGCTGATGTGCACACACATGCGCACACAGGTAAAAATGAAACAAGCAGTGTTCTCTCATCTCTAAGTGTTACAATTGTTTTATTTGTCTAGGAGTACCATATTGTTAAGAAATCCACCCGCTCATTGAGTGCCGCTCAGGTTGAATACCCTTGGCGATTAACGCAGCCATCTATTATCTCAAACATTGTCCTGATGAAGGGACAAGGCAAGGTAAGAATGTTTCTGGTGGGGGAGGACCAATAGTTAGTGAGTGTGTGTGTGTGTCTGTCTGTCTGGGTTCATCTGAGCCACTAGGATAGGCCTTGGCAATCATTTTAGGCCAAATTTGGCAATTTGAGAAACTGTCCTGGGTGCCACCACAAAATGGCCTCTGTGAGAGGCATGATTTGCCATGAAGAACGCTAAATAAAGGCAGAGCCAGGTCTGATCTCCAGCGCGCTTAGCACAGAGACCTGCACCAACAGAGGCCTGTTTCAATAAAAAACAATGCTGGCTGCCTAAAGCACCTGAGCAGGCCCCAAGGAAGGTGTCCAGGAGTCTGTTGTTGCTCAAAGCACCACGTTGTCCATCTCTGCTGTAAACCCACCAAATACCTGATGCAAAAATAAGTGTGATCTTCCCTGTCTCTACCATGGATCCTGACAAGAAAGGGACACAGTGGGCAGGTGGTGCTCAGCTTTAGGGAAGTGATGCTCATTCTTTTTCCTGAGAAAGTGCAGGTTCGTAATTTGGGGGTATTCCTAAATCCAACTTCATCACTAGCTGTGCATCTGATTAGGGTTGCAGTGACCTTATCTGAAGTCCAGCTCTCTTCTGAACACTAGGTGTTCTCTCCTGCTTTGGCCCGGGCTCAGGAAGTGAGCTGAGCTGAGAGCGTATCTGCAGATGCTCACAGAACTCCAGCTGAGCAGCAGAAACTAAGGCCACAAGTCACATACGTGGAGAGGGAAGCAGTTTGCACAGGGCTCGGTTTCTGGTGAGCGCTGCATGGACACTTGGCATGCTTGCCAGGAAGCCAGACTCACAGCCATAAGAAAGCAGGCTGGAGCCCAGGGAAGCAAGGCCAGAGAATCCAAAGTATCCCAACCCCAGAATGGATTCCTCACTCATCCCTCCATCTGAACTCAGTAGCCCAGGGTGCCTTTTATCAGTTGCAGCTGATTCTCCAGCTGCAAGCATTCCCAGACTGGGAGAGACTGACCATGAAGGTTCAAACTCTGGTTGGCTCCCGACAGGCTTAAGTATAATACACTGTGTATGGGGCACTCCTTGAAGATGATTCCATTAGTGCAGAATCTAGGTGCAAGAATTTGAGCTGGCACAGCCTGGTTTGTCAACACCATGAAATCTGCACAAAGTAAACACTAAATGAATGCAAACCCGCTGTTTCGTGTAGCATCACCTTTCCTGTGGGATACTTGATTGAGAGCCATTTCCATTGTGCATTGCAGGGTCTTGGATTCAGCATTGTGGGAGGGCAAGATTCTGCCCGAGGACGCATGGGGATCTTTGTGAAGACCATTTTCCCAAATGGAGCTGCAGCAGCCGATGGCAGGTTGAAGGAAGGTATTGTAGCAAAAAATACACATCTCTGTCAGCTCAACTGCTTGTTAAGTAGTGATTTTTATCAACTGAAAAGATTGGCTGCATTCACATGAGGGTGTTCAAGGATAGGCTAGACATGCACATGATGGGCATGTTGTGAGCGGAGCTGGCTGGAGCCGGGGGTCAGACTAGATGGCCCAGGAGGCCCCTTCTGACTCGCTCTGTTTCTATGTTTCACATGACCACATCTCAGTTTAATAAGTAGATGTGTGTAAACCTTTTGCCTGCTCACAAAGTCCTTTCACCCTGCCTTTGTGGCACCTGTGTGCGGCAAGCAAAGCAGGAAATCTCCAGTTAAGCATAGCTTCCTCTTTGATCCAAATCAGGAAATTGTGGTGACAGGTTTGGAACTCTCCATCATCTTAAAGCAAATTCAAACCCTGGTTTAAGATCTTGGCTTGTTCTGACCCTGATAAACATGGGCTCAGTTTGCGTGTAACAAGACGCCACCAATATTGAATTGCCTTGTGGTGCTTCTTGTTGCAACAGCAGCCCCAGCCATGATCTTGAATATTCAAGGCATGGCGGGGTTGTGCCAGAGTTTTTTGTTACGTGCAAACCTGGTGAGTGGGGGTTCTTGGGACGGTTGTCAAGGTTCACATGCAGTGACAAGCCATGGCACACCCTGCCCTGCCATGCCCCTAATGTTCAAAATGGCAGCTGCCAGAACAAAAGCCCCCATACAGAAGTTCGCCATTGGTGGCGTTTCCTTACATGCCATCATTTCCCGATTTGAATGAAAGAGGTTTGGTTGCTGTGCACTGCAAACCAGGAAGCGAAAGCACTGTATGCTTGGCAAAAAAATTACGTATCTTGGCTTATTCTGCCAAAATAAGGTCAGCTGAACAATAGGATAGCTTGCTTTCCACATGGACTAGTCTTCCTAAGTAATAGTGGCCATGGAACTCTGGTGCATATTCTAGGATATAGGCTCAGTTCATGCATGGTCCAGGGCAGGCATGGATTTTCACCCTATGTGACTCAGAAGAGCAGATCTAACCATCCCCTCAGCCTGTGCATGGAGAAGATCAAGACTGGGGAACAAGTAATTCTCCACCATTACTAATCCTTTGTTGAGAAAGCCCATATCCTATATATGCTAACAGAAGTTCAGAATAAAAGTCATAGTTGTGGAGCGTTTCATCTTATGCCAATTCTGTGCAATTCTCCTTTGTCTTCACTATAAAGGCAATAGAAACACATGGAATGAAGTCAAAGCAATCAAAGTTACTCACACATACTCGTAGGTGTAAATTAGGATCATGAGAGAGGCTAGGACTGCACATACTTATAAGACCAACACTTTATCTGCTATGTAAATGCTGATGTGGATTTTGCCTTTGGTTACCAGGAGATGAACTCCTAGAAGTTAATGGAGAGTCTTTACAAGGCCTGACTCATCAGGAGGCCATTCAGACATTTAAGGTAACAGCATTGCAGGTGGGGCCTCTCAGTGGTTCTGCAGACCCAGCTGGAGTGTTGCTCTGGCGTGTTATGGGAAATTCAGATACTGGTTCCCAGACCCAAGACTGATTAGTGTGCTGTATTTTTTTTTCAAAGGTGCCTTATAGTCCTTTGTCATATGAGTTCCACAGGCCATATGAGTTTCCTGGCCTAAGGGCCAAATGAAGGGTGCAACTTTGGGGATATTTCCCCATGCAAAAGAATCCTTGCAACTGAGGAAAACTTAGTACATCAAGAAGGAAGGTTCTTTCCTGGCCAATGTTTTGCTGTGCCAGGTTGCTGGACAGATTGTTGTCGAGCTTTATTTTAAAAATAGAACACAGTCAAAAATGTGAATTCAAAAATCTGTTGATTCCTTCTGCAATTGAAGTTGTATAGTACTTTCCTGGGATTACCTGTTGACAGTTTAAAATTGTTATATTTTACTAGGTTGGTTTTATATTATATTGTATTTTTATGGTTTTAATCTTTAAAAACTGGCAAGAGAGCTTTGGTCATTGAGCAATGTAGAAACACAATAAAATGAAGTGTAATAAATGCCGACTAGAAGTTCTGTGCCTTTAGAACTAGCAGATTATTACTACTTTCTGTGTGGGTCTGAATCCTCCACATGAGAAGCAAACATGTCCCCCCCGGGGAAGTATAAGCCATCAGCCTGTTCTGTAACAAAGCCATCACTCATTCCATAATATTGAACATGGTATTTTATAACATTAATTCCATAACATGTTATGGAATGAACACTCTAATATCATATTAACATGATAAAAAAATTGCCTCAACACTACTTCTAAAAAATTTAACCAGCAGTAGCCATGATGAGATCAGTTATCAAAGATCACATTTCTCCATCGGTCCTCCATGAGTACTTTAGTGGGTGGCTGAGAGGCAGGCAGACTCATAATGGGTAGGGCACATGCTTTGTGCGCAGAAGGTCCCTTGCCCTAACCCTAAACCTAAACCCAACCCCAGCTCCCCTGATTTAGAAGATCAGATCAGGGATCTATGAGAACATTATTATGAGTTGCACGACATGCAACTCATAATTTGAAGCCCCAAAAGTGTGTGCAAATGCATGTTCACAGAAACATTCTGCAAATGGTTGAATACGTGCTTGTGTCCATCTCATTCATAAATCCCAGTTGGATTTGTGCAATCAAATCTATTGATCCTTAATCTATATAAGAAATCTGTACAAATGTGGGGGAGATTTGTTCACATCTCCCACTTGATCATTATTTGGTTTGTGTCAGTATCCCGTTTGTGCAAAGTAAACAGTGATCAGTGCGATTGCGAAGTGGGCACAAGCTGAACTGCAAGATGCTGTTCAAAGAGTCTGAGAGAACGTGCCCCTCACTCACTTGCGCATCTCTGCATCAGGTAGCAGGTGCCTGAAGCTTGAAGAGCTGCTTCCTCCATTGTAAGGTGGCCAGTACTAGACCAAAAGTACCAGTGGTTCCAACAGGGATAGGGCAGCTTCTTTTGTTCTTATGTTTTGGATGGATATGCCCCCAAACATTTCAGGCAAGTCAGGTGCAGGTCAGTTTCTCTTGGCCACCATTTTGCAGAGTTCATATATCATTTCACCCTAGGAGGGCTGTACTGAGATCAAGGATGGGAAGCATGTGGCTGTTTGGATGTTGTTGGACTGCAACTCCCATCTCTTCAGTTCCCATTAGCCCTAGCCAGTATGGTCCATGATGAGAGAGGATGGGAGTTGTAGGGAGAGCCACACATTCCCTATTCCTGATTCAGACAAGCAAGAAACCTGCTGGCAATCTTCACTCATCCTTTCATTGTGTGATTTGGAAGCTGCTTGCATGTCACTAGAAGACAACATCATGAACCATAACAAGCTGCTGTTACCTCTTCAGCAACTCAAGAAAGGCGTGGTGACCCTTACGGTACGAACCAGACTTCGCAGCCCAAGCCTTACTCCATGCCCAACTCCTACGTTACTGAGCCGATCCAGCTCCCCCAGCTCGAGCACCAGTGGAGGACCACCTTTACCTGGCTGTGAGGATGCTGAGGTCACCACCCCAAATCGTAAGGGGCCGGGGCCAAAAGACAGGATCGTCATGGAAGTGACTCTCAGCAAAGGTTTGAGGACACTGGAGCATTTCTGAGAGGTTCTGGGGTGGGGGTAGGAATCCCTAGAGGCAGTTTTTTGGGTGAGGTGGGGGGAGAGAGGAACATGGTTGCTTGCATGTACTCAGTGCTACAAAAGGAAGTTCATTTTAAATCAACTTCACTGAAGGTACCCAGGAAGGAGCTGATGGAAGGCACCATCTGATGGATCACTTCAAAGTTGTTTCTTCCCCCATGTGTGGAAGAACTAGCAGTCTGTTTGGATGGTTTATGCCTTAAATTGAGTTTATTCGGGATTTGGGTGTGCGTGTGTGCAGGTGTTTTGTTTAGCCCATGGGATCCTTAGTCTACTTCATCGTGAAGATGTGGGAGGAAGCCAACACTACCAGATTCCCCCCTCCCTGCTTCTGCTAATTGTGTTCAGAATAAGGGTGCATAAGACTGGGGAGAAACCAACTTACACGTAAAGGAAGAGCACAGTGGCTTTTAAGATAAGCCAGCCTGCCCTACCGCAGCATGGCTGATGTGCGCTCCTGGGGCGTGGAGTGGGAGGGACAGCGAACTGAGCTGTTCCCTTCCATCCCTTCCAGGGGACGTCTCCAGTATTTGGTCCACAGGCTGAATTTCTGTCTGATACCCCCCAGTTGCCATTTCAGTGCCCCCGGTGAGCATGAGCCTTTCTCTTCGCTGCTCTTCTAAGTAGCTTGAAAGAGCAGGCCTGAGTACGTGCTGTGCCCCTTGTGATTGTTGTAAGGCAGAGTGAGTGCAAACGGTCTCAGTCTTTGCTCTTCATCTCACCACAGAACCAGGTGTTGGGCTGGGCATCGGTGTTTGCTGCCTCACTCTGGAGAATAGCCTTCCAGGTATTTACATCCACAGCTTGGCCCCAGGATCCGTGGCCAAGATGGATGGAAGGTTAAGGTTAGTCCTGAATCTAACAGCAACAATTATGTTACTGTCTGGGGGTAGGTTCTCCCCAACATACTGGATGTATCTGAATTGTTTTTGTCATCAGGAGTACAAAATTGAATAGAGGACTCTATCCCCTGAACTGCTGCCACGGACCAGTTTTCCTTCTCAGAACATATCTGTCATTGCTGGGGAGAGCTTTCAGCAGAGCTTCCTTGAGTTCTCAGTATTCCTGTAGGCATGCACAGATGATGCTTCTGATGTTGGGAAGTCTGGGAAGTGCATTGCCCATGGTCCCCAAGAGCGGATGACACTGCGTGCATGATCGTGGCAGGATCTGTGATATACTGGCAGCCTCACCGTTAGTTCTTACCTAGTGCTTATTAATTAATTAGGCTCAATATGTCTAACCCGGGATGGACAGCCCTGTTGCCCTCAGGCCTGCAGACCTGCACGCACACACACACATTTGAAGTGGGGAAGATTAAAATTTCCTCAACTCACCTTTTGCTTTGTAAAAGAAACACGGTGAAAGCTGGATTAAGGGTGCCACCCAGTGTGGCTGTCCATAAGCCTCCAAACCAGAGGTTGATCCGGCATTCAGTTGCCTCTGCGTTTCTCCTGCCCTGCCCTCCCCACTCCTCCCAATGCCCCCCAGTGTTAGTGCTGAAGGCATGTGTGCTGGCTGCGAACATGGAAGGAGGGTGTGTTGGGATCGGAGTCCAATTTCTGAGGTTGTAGCTGTGAGCCCAACCTGTCAGGTGGCCACTTAGACAGCTTGCAGTGGCCATGGGAATGTGCGCATATTGGTGCCATATAGGCCTCATTGAGGAGAGTGCTCCAGAATCAGGAGACCATCACGAAGAAGACACCGTTTCTTGCTGCCAGTTTCCAAACATCCCTCAGAGGAGGCACCTGGAAGAAGATCCTAGGCGATGCTCTTAGCAGCATATGGGGTAGGCCCTCTGTCAGATCTTGACTTTTCTGACTAACTCTCTAGATCAATGCAAAAAGAGAGCACAGCACACTTAGGATTTAACACATGCAAGAGTGACGGGAATCAAAATCTGATCCAGCCTTCCCTGCCCCCAACTAAATTGAGACTAGGAAAGAATAACTGCTTAAAATGGGACAGCTGGATGACACTGCGCCACGTCGGTCATTCCTCCACTCAGGTTGCACTGTCTGTGCATTGTTGCAGTCTATTTCCCACCCTGTCAAAAAACCATCACTTTCTGTTTGCTTACTATCCGGCAGGCATATTAAACTGGATGTCTTTGTTTCCTTAGCCGTGGGGATCAGATCCTGGAGGCGGATTCGGTCAGTTTGCGTCATGCGGCTCTGAGTGAAGCTTACGCCATTTTGAGTGAATGTGGTCCAGGCCCAGTTAGCCTTATCGTTAGCCGCCATCCCAATCCAAAGGTACGCAGTAGAACAGAACAGAATGTTTTGAATTAGTCCAGAGACTCTATCAAGACAAAGGCAAGAAGAAAACGTGTGAATCATGAAGCTTGGGCCAAGCACTGACCTGCAGCTTTGTGTCTGGAACTGACTGAAAAGGGTGTGTATGTTGAAACATTCTGTGGCAATGGGATTCAGTCCATCTTGCCTGAAGTGTGTCGCTAAGCTTAATTGAGAGTCAGTGTGGCATACTAGTTAAGAGCATAGGACTGGGACTCAGGCAATTTGGATTCTAGTCCCTACTCGTCTTCTCCCACTTTTTGTTTTACCTTCACAATAACACTGTGAGCTGGGTTAGGCTTAGGAAGATTAACCAGTTGACCTAAAGTCAGCAAATGAGTTTCATGGCAAATGAGGCCAGAACCTGGTTCACCAGAGGGGTTCAGCATGCACTCGCCCTAGAACGAAAGATGCTGGTAATCATCCTTCAGAGCCCAAAGAATCTGGCTCCTGCCAGTTTCAGAGAACTGCTTCAGCCAAATTTTGCTTTATGCCCTTTATAGTCTGCCCTTGTAGCAGCCCTGTTCTGTGTCCCTTTGTGTGCTACAGTGAGATAGATTTTAAGGCGTAGAGAAGGGCTTTTTCGGTGTGGACACTTGCATCGTGAAAAAATGACAGGGTGGCAGGGCCAGGGCTGAGGTAGCAATTTCTTACACAGCAGTTTTGGACCAGTGTTCTTCTGCAGGAGCAGAATCATAAAATTGGACTGAGCCTTGCAGGCCACCTGTCCCTACCCTTTTGACCTCTAAGATGGCATTTTGGGAGATGCAGTCCTGCACATGTAGAAGGCAACAGGATGGGGAAGGCTATGGTAGGTCATTGGTCTAATCCTCTGCTCAGTGCAAGAAATCCAGAACTCCAGTGTTGCCAACAGGTGACTAGCAGCCTGTGCTTGAAGCCCTCCAGGAAATGCAACTCTCACCCCAATCTCACTGGCAATCAATTAAAAAAATCCTAAGGTTCAGCCAAAATCTGCTATTTCACAACTGAATTCCATGTAATCTAATCCTCCCCTGGTACTACAGAGAACTTTGTATTCCAGAGTCTCTTCTGTGTCAAAGTGGACAATTGCCATTGCTCTCACTATTCTAGATTGGGTTAAGCCACCAATTGGTCTCCAGAAGTTAGGATCTGTAAGTGCCATAATCCATGACCATTATGCTATCTGAGGCTGATGGGAGCTCTAGCCCAAAACATCTGGAGGTCATCCAATTCCTTGCTGCTGTTCTAGGTCTCATATATATATCCTTTGTGTACTTTTACTAAATTTTGTGCGTGATTTGCACCTATTTTCAAGTTGCTCTCTGTACAGTTTTACAGAAAAGGCATACACAGACAAACATAGGAAAGACATACTTTAAATGTACATGTTTTTATAGCCAATCTACATTCCATCAGACAGACTGTTTTTGTTACCAAATTATCTGGTATTCTGGGTTTTTATGTACTCCCAAAACCAATACCACTTAAGGTATTTTTTTCTTTCTTCCTTGTTATTCTGAGTGAATGTGACACTGAAACCTTGTTGAAACTGCTGAGTTTGCTTTGGGGGTTCATTCAGCAGCTCTCTCTTCAAAGTGCTTCATATTTCTGATCTGCCTTGATGCCTAATTCACTTCTCAAAAAATGCACTGGATACTGACATCACAAACAGAGTTGGATTTGAGTTTCAGTTCCTTTGCCATGCTATTTCTCAGAGACAGTATTATTGGGTACATTTTAGGAAAATAAAAGATTTTGATCACAGCAATTGCTTTTGTACTTTGTAAAATACAAAGTCATTTTATTAAAATGCATATCAAAATGTTCACAATAATCAGTAAACCACCAGTGATAATAAAACAGCCTCCCTTCCTACCTGTTTGGCTCCCGTCCATGCTATAGTGCCAAGATTACAAAACCTGAACACCTGACATTTAGCTTCCCTCTAAGGGGCTCAAGAGATGTGCTCCTCAGAGTTATTTTGTTGATAAAATTAGTTAAGGTGCAAACTTATGAATGCTTAGGCACGAAGAAAAGAAGAGAAAAGAAAAAGCCCTACAGTAGGCAGCATGGCTGGCTGGAGAAAGCTGGCATTCATAGGGCCTTTTTCTGCCTAAAGAGGTACAGGATTGTACCCTTAATTAATTTTCATTCATTTATATCAAGGGTCCTTGTCCTTTTCTGTGTCCTTCAGTAATGTCTTCAGCAACTAGGGGCAGTCTTTCCTAGCCATCGCGTAACTTTGCTCTGTGAAGTTTGGAGCGAGGGAGATGAACAGCCCGAGGGACAGAGTGCCGCGCCTGCTTCCTGCTGTGGAGCAAAACCCCTCAGGGCAGCCTGGGCAGCCCCCTGCTGCAGAAGGACACTTTGGCAGTGGCCATGCCGAAGTGTGCCAGCAGGTATGGTGTCACTCAGAGGGAGCAGGCACCATGTGTTCAAGTCTGATCGATGCACAAGTTGCCTCAGTACCTCACCGAATCAAACTAAGGCCTATTCCAACCAGTACGAAGCTGCATCTACTCAGTAAGAATTAAAGCGAATAGCTGCTCAAGTAATCACAGATCTCTTGATTGGCTTTAGGTTTGAGGGGGCCCTGAGGAATGTGTCCTCCAGCGAGGTCCTTCCTCTGTCTCTGGGCAGTGCTCTAAGCAGTGTTAAGTACCTAGGCCTAGTTACCCTTTCCATTTCCCAGAATGCCCCTGATCTTGCATCACTTATGGACATTCTGGAAAATTAAAAGAGTGTCTACCCTCGGTCCAGTCTCCTGGAACTGTTTTGGAGAGCCAAGTCTGGGGGAAAAAATAAGGGGAAAGGCCCCTGATTGAACCAATTACTTAGGGCAGCCTTCCCCCACCTTGGGCCTTCCAGGCATTTTTGGACTGCAACACCCAGAATACCTAGTCAGTGGCCCTGCTGGATGGGAATTCTGGGAGTTGTGGTCCAAATGTCTCTGAAGGTGACCAAGTTATGGAAAACTGCATTAAGGGGTTTGTGGACTCTCCCAGACTGGATTCATTGAAGATGCAACGGGACAGCCATCTGCTAGCGATGCTTTAGCTTGGAGTCTGCATTGCAGAGGGTAAACCCAGTGGCCTTCTTGGCCCCTTTTAGGACTACTATTTTACGATCCTGTGATTCTATGTCTTGCACCTGTCTTGCAATCTAGCAATCAATGGTCACATTTTGTTTATATGCAAATACACGATGTTAAGCTTCCCTCATGAATGCCTCTATATTGTGTCATTGGATAATAAGCGAGTATACTTAAATAATATAACCAATTATCCTAATTGTATTACAGTTCTGCCTTTACGTGTTTAGAATCATTACATGGAATGCCATATATTTGTCATTTCAGTCTCCTGCTTCCCCAGATACTGGGGATTAACAGAAGGTGCATGTTGGCCTCTTGCCCTACTTATTATCTGCACTGTAGCATCTGGCTGCCCTCTGTTTGTAGGTTCCAGAGGATCCTGCAGTAAATGGACAGCCACTCTAATCAGGCATAATGCGCATATGTTCTTTTGTGAAAAGTAACCACAGAAGACTTGTTTCAAGGTCACCAAACATTACCTGTGTCATTCAGCCAGCACCAACCTTTCAAGGTTCTCGTCTCTGATACTTCTGCTCCGAACTATGAAAAGAAACAAGCGTAAACCTGAAGTGAACATATCATTTGCAGCATAAGCATTTGTGTCCTTTTCAACTTCCTACTAGGTTTCTGAACAAGAGATGGATGAAGCCATAGCACGCACCACACAGAGAGAAAGCAAGGATGCCACCTCCCCGCACGCCACAGGTACCAGCTCACCTGCTTCTGTCATTGTGTCAGATCTGACTCTGGCTGGCTACAGCACAGTTAAATCCATAGACGTTTTCTTCCGTGTTTATTTTCTACAAAGGAACCCTAAATTCTGCTCCCAGAATTAATTAGGGCGAAGTCAGGAGACAGTTGGGCCTGCTTGGATCTAACCAATCACTATCTCAGCAGAGTGACCAAGAAGATGGGCAGTTAGAATCTCACCTGTACACAGTATCTTACATGGTGATTAGATGTGGAGATCACCTTAGGGAGGTCAGTGCCATCCTCCCTAAGTTCTGGGATCATATGCTGGGCAAAGTCAAAGGCAGAAGAAGAGGATGACCAAATTACGAGTTGCAACAACCCAGATTCAGGCCAGACATCAGGAAAAGCTTCCTCACTTTTAGAGCAATGTAACAGTGGAACCAGCTGCCTAAAGAGATGGTGGGCTCTCCCACCCTAGAGACATTCAAGGCAAAACTGGACAGCCATCTGAGTGGGATGGTGTGACGTGGTGTCCTGCTACAGCAGGGGGCTGGACTCGATGGCCTTCATGGCCCCTTCCAACTCTTGTTGTTGTTAGTCGCGAAGTCGTGTCCGACCCATCGTGACCCCATGGACAACATTCCTCCAGACCTTCCTGTCCTCCACCATCCCCCGGAGTCCACTTAAGCTCACACCAACTGCTTCAGTGATTCCATTCAGCCACCTCATCCTCTGCCGTCCCCTTCTTCTTTTGCCCTCTATTGTTTCCAGCATTAGGCTCTTCTCCAGGGAGTCCTTCCTTCTCATTAGGTGGCCAAAGTATTTGAGTTTCATCTTCAGTATCTGGCGTTCTAAAGAGCAGTCAGGGTTGATCTCTAGGACTGAATGGTTTGATCACCTAGCAGCCAAGGGACTCGCAGGAGTCTTCTCCAGCACCACAATTCAAAGGCCTCAATCCTTCGGTGCTCAGCCTTCCTTATGGTCCAGCTTTCACAGCCATACATTGGAACTGGGAAATCCATAGCCTTGACTATATGCACTTTTGTTGGCAGGGTGATGTCTCTGCTTTTTAGTATGCTGTCTAGAATTGCCATACCTTTCCTCCCAAGGAGCAAGCGTCTTTTAATTTCTTGGCTGCAGTCCCCATCTGCGGTGATCTTGGAGCCCAGGAAAATAAAATCTGTCACTATCTCCATTTCTTCCTCATCTATTTGCCAGGAAATGAGAGGACCGGATGCCATGATCTTAGTTTTCTTAATGTTGAGTTTCAAACCAACGTTTGCGCTCTCCTCCTTCACCAGCATCAAGAGGCTCTTTAGTTCCTCTTCACTTTCTGCCATGAGAGTGGTATCATCTGCATATCTGAGGTTGTTGATATTTCTCCTGGCAATCTTAATTGCAACTTGTGATTCATCTAGCTGCGCCTTTCTCATGATGTGCTCTGCATATAAGTTAAATAGGCAGGGCAACAGTATACAGCCTTGCCAAACTCCTTTCTCTATTTTGAACCAATCAGTGGTTCAGTGTCCAGTTTTCACTGTTGCTTCTTGACCCACATACAGGTTTTTCAAGAGACAATTAATTATTATTATTATTATAACATTTCTATGCCGCCCCTTGCCGAAACCTCGGTCTGGCACTCCCCTCTCTTTAAGGACTTGCCATAATTTGTTGTGTTCCGCACAATCAAAGGCTTTAGCATACTCAATGAAGCAGAAGTAGATGTTTTTCTGGAACTCCCTAGCTTTCTCCATGATCCAGCGTATGTTGGCAATTTGATCTCTAGTTCCTCTCCCTCTTCAAAATCCTGCCTGTACTTCTGGTAGTTCTTAGTCCACCGACTGCTGGAGCCTAGTTTGTACGATTTTGAGCACAACTTTGCTAGCATGTGAAATGAGTGCAATGGTGCGGTAGCTTGAACATTCTTTGGCATTGCCCTTCTTTGGGATCGGAATGTAAACTGACCTTTTCCAATCCTGTGGCCACCGTTGAGTTTTCCAAATTTGCTGGCATATTGAGTGTAGCACTTTTACTGCATCATCTTTTAAGATTTTGAATAGCTCAGCTGGAATATTGTCACCTCCACTAGCTTTGTTGTTGCTCAGACTTCCTAAGGCCCATTTGACTTCACATTCCAGGATGTCTGGCTCAAGGTCAGTGACCACCCCATCGTGGTTATCAGGGACGTTAAACTCTTTCTTGTATAGTTCTTCTAAGTAATCTTGGCACGTCTTCTTAATCTCTTCTTCCTCTGTTAGGTCCCTGCCATTTTGGTCTTTATCATGCCCATCTTTGCATGAAACGTTGCCTTCACATCTCCAATTTTCTTGAAGAGATCTCTGGTCCTCCCTATTGTATAGTTTTCTTCTATTTCTTTGCACTGTTCATTGAAGAAGGCATTCTTATCTCTTCTAGCTATTCTCTGGAATTCTGCATTCAGTTGGGTGCATCTTTCTCTTTCTCCCTTGCCTTTCGCTTCCCTTCTTTCCTCAGCTATTTGTAAAGCTTTCTCAGAAATGCTTTCTTGCATTTCTTTTTCTTTGAGACAGTTTTAGTTGCTATCTCTTGTACAATGCTGCGAACTTCCATCCATAGTTTTTCAGGCAATCTGTCTATCAGATCTAATTCCTTAAATCTATTTGTCACCTCTACTGTATATTCATCAGGGATATGATTTAGGTCATACCTGAGTGGCCTAGTGCTTTTCCCTACTTTCTTCAATTTAAGCCTAAATTTTGCAACAGTCAGCTCCTGGTCTAGTTTTTACTGACTGTATAGAGCTTCTCCATCTTTGGCTGCTGAGCACATAGTCCACCTGATTTCTGTGCTGACCGTCTGGTGATGTCCATGTGTAGCGTTGTCTCTTGGGTTGTTGGAAAAGAGTGTTTGCTATGACCATTGTATTCTCTTGACAAAATTCTACCAGCCTGTGCCCTACTTCATTTTGTACTCCAAGGCCAAACTTGCCTGTTATTCCGGTTATCTTTTGGCTTCCTACTTTAGCATTCCAATCCCCCATGATGATAAGGACATCATTTTTTGGAGTTAATTCTTGAAGGTGTTGTAGGCCTTCATAGAACTGGTCAACGTCAGCCTCTTCAGCACCAGTGATTGGGGCATAGGCTTGGACTACTGTGATGTTGAATGGTTTGCCTTGGATTCGAACTGAAATCATTCTGTCATTTTGGAGATAGTATCCCAGTACTGCTTTTCCTACTCTTTTATTTACTATGAAGGCTACTCCATTTCTTCTGAGGGATTCTTGCCCGCAGTAGTATACCTGATCGTCATCTGAATTGAATTCTCCCATTCCTGTCCATTTTAGTTCACGGATTCCTAAGATGTTGAAGTTCAGTCTTGTCATCTCTTGTTTGACCACATCCAGCTTGCCTTGATTCATGGTTCTTACATTCCAGTATAGATCTTTACAGCATTGGACTCTCCTTTCACCACCAGATACATCTGCAACTGAGTGTCCTTTCGGCTTTGACCCAGTCGCTTCATTCTTTCTGGTGCTACTAGTACTAGCCCTCTGCTCTTCCCCAGTAGCATATTGGACACCTTCCAACCTGAGGGGCTCATCTTCCGGCA